CCCCCCCCCAAAAAAAAAACATAAAACAAACAATAGCATTTCCTTGTTTGGTTAAGATAAAAATCAAAATTTTAACTTAATCGGCTTTTTTAGCTGAACCAAACAGGAGCTAAGTGTCAATAGCTCTCGAGACGCTTGTCACTTGAAGAGCACGAAAACAAACAGAGAAAACAATGTAGGAAAACAAGTCGCTAGTGGATAAAACCAATTGTATAAGTTTTATTCAATTGCAATAGCGGACTATTGAAATTAATAACCACAAGGCTAACGATTTCAATTTATCAAAAAAAAATTCCGTTTTAGAATTTTCCAACGACTGAAAAAAATGTTTAGCAACACAAAATCAGAAATATAAGTTAACTGCAGGCTAAAACTATAAACAATGAATCTGGAAGCTACATAGTATGAAACTACAAACTGCATGAATTAAATAGTAATGTGAAAATAATCTGTAGAAAGAAAACACAAATTGCAGCATATTTCAAACCGAGGCATGTGCGTGCACAGTTTCCTTAAAACAGTTTCGCCCCCTCACTGTAGGTGCTAAAGGTTCAGTTCGAGTGACTGTCTCCTAGAATACAAAGAAAATAAGCAGAATTCGAGCATCGCGGTCCTACTCCGGCGAACTGATCTAGTATCTGAACAATATCACCACAAGAACAAGAATAAGAAATGCAGAAAAAAATCGTGTATGCGGGAATGTAAGTGAGATTTTCGAGTGTGTTAGATTGCTGGAGAATGAGTTTTTTATAGGCATATTACCCATTAATATTAGGAGTCCATTGGAGTTTTTTCAGTTTAGAAACTCAAAAGTCATTGGAAAAGGTCAAAAAAAATTTGGCAAAACGTAGGCTCTCCAATGGGGCCATTTTTGTCTTGTTCGGTCCGACATCCCTGTGCGCAGGTCGCGCCCGTACCCAAGTTGAAGGTTCGAAGGCTATTTCGGTTCGTGATTTGCACCCCCTTGCGCGAGCACGTGGAGAGAGCCTCTATACTACACATGATTACACATCTCCAAAGCATAGCCATATATAAAGTGATTTGAATTTCCTTGATTTTCCTATGTGAGATAAATGCATTTTTTCCCACAAAATCAACTTCCAATGACAAACTTTGAGTTTCAATTTCTCAGTCACCCGAACTTCATTTTTGGCAAATAAATACATGAAATCGATGTTCTCGCGAAGAAAAACACATATCAACTTTGATATTCTACATTGGACCAACGAGTCCTATTGAAAATTGTGCCAAAAGTGAGCCGCTCACTCAATTTTTTCCAACAAACAATCCCTCTACCCATCCTACTATTATCAATAGCTTCATCAGAGATTAGCATGGATATATTTTCACACAATCAGAGTAAATTACCAAAAAAATCACTTTTCTGAAAAAAAAAAAAAATATATATATATATATAGTGTATTTTTCAATAGTGAGAAAAGAAGAGGAAGCTGTTTATAAATACGTAATAGCAAAGTTTATATTTAGAGACTTAAAAAATAAATCAAATTACCCAAATAAAATTCTCCAAAGATCCACTGCCAATTTTTCTCCTTAACTTAAATTTTCTGCTAATCACATAATCCATAATTAATTTCTTAAAATTGATAAAACCCAAAAAATAAAAAAAATTAAAAAAAAATCTTTCTTTATACCACAATTAATAACTCAATACCAAAAACATCAAATCTTAGACTTTAAAAATACTCATTAGATCCACGAAATCATCATAGAAATTAAATCATCCAAAAATCCAAAAAGTTCATTTATTTTGAGTTACCTAAAAAATCTGAAAAAGTTGACAAATATTGTCCATCCCACCATTGCATTTTAAATATGGGCTCTCAAAAAAATAAAAAAATAAAAAAATGGAGAGTTGGAATGGGCATGGGCCCAAAGTTCAGTGTGAGCAATATGGGGCTTCGCCCCTTGCCGTTTAAGGTGGGCCAGGGCGGGCTATTGCCCTATTTATGTACCCATTTATCTTTTTATTTTTAGCTTTTGATTATTCATTTTATTGACTACATTCATTCAAATGAGTGAGACAATAATATAGTTATTAAAATTTTTAATTAATTTATTTATTCTTAAAAGTTAAATTATTAGAATATATTTGGTAAACTAAAGTTTTTATTGTTTATCATATTCTTTAAATAATGTTAGTTACCATCTTTTATTAGAAGTAATGAAATTTCGTGAAATTTTTCCATTAAAAGTATTGAATTCTTAAAAAACAAAGCACGGGGATGGGGGTGGACCCGTGTTACCCGTACCCACCTCTGCTCGACCCGATTAAGTGGGTATTCCCTGCCCCGATCGGGATGGGACCCGTGGATATCAAATTTGATGGATGTTTTTGCTATCCGTAGAGTAAATCTCAATTCTAACGTGAAGATTATAATTTTTTGTGCAATGCTATCTCGTCCAAGTGGTGTAAGTCCACATTTTCTACTAAAATGGCATGTGCTTTGATTGTGTCTAATATTAGCACCATATATGTATAATAACTCTTTTGAAATTGTATCTTTCAAATGATCGATTCCTACATGGACAAAATGAGCATAGCAACACGCACAACACCAACCCATTCAATCTCTCCATTCCAATATTTCTCATATATTTGGGGGAAAAAAAAAAAGAAAAGAAAAAAGAAGCAGCCTTCACTCATAGAAGAAAAGAAACGCAACATCATAGAATGACTTTCATTTGTTTGAATCTAACAGTAAATTCATTGCAAGAATTGTGACAACTCGTGCCTCAATCAAGTCAAACTATTTCCCCTTTCTTTATCTGAAAAAGTTTGACGGTCCATTCCCTAATTTGAATGTAAATAATTAGATTTTCTTTCTCGTGATTTTTTTCATTCCAATCCCAATTTCTTCAAACCGTTGATGTCCTCTTATTTTAAATTTGGGAAGAGCTCTCAAGTACTAGACATAGCCTCCGTAGTTTTTGCCTTTGCGCCTAGCGTCTTATATTTGACCCAATTATGCAAAATAGACAATTTGTCTTTTTAGAGCTATTATCCGGATAATATATATGAAAAAATGATCTAATGAGAATCGATACTTAATTTATGTTAAACACAGTTGACATAGCACACCAATTAATTGACGAATCATTAAATTGGCACTGACGCTCATTAAATCATTTCTATGTATATAAAGCATGTGTATGATAAAAAAAAATGTACAGTCACCTTTATACATGATCACTAACCTATATTGCTCACAATTAAATTTGAATTGAGATGAAAGCTTTATGAATCATTTTGTAAATGTCATGATCTTCCTAGTGGTATGCACGTGTTTTATACAAAAATTAGCGTTCGTCTGGGCGCAATTTTATTTCCAAAAAAATTGATTTTTGCATCACATCAATGGTCCCCACTTGCAATCTCGTAAACCAGCTTTCAAGGTACAAATTATGAAGAAAGTCACTTTTTACCCCAGTTTTCAAATCTTGTGCATTATTTGAAGGAAAGAAAGGAAAGTGGTAAAAGAGAACAATTGGCAATGCAAAGCTACATGAAATGAATGCCATAGTTATATCTCACGTGAATGTCAAATTGAGAGGAATAAAGAAACATATTTAGGCACAATCAGTCACTTTTCGAATTATAATTTTCCAAAGAATTGCGCCCAAACAGCAGCTTATGAGGCCTCACTACCAAGACCTATTTCAGAATTTCTAGCCAACTAGACTTAACTCAAGTCGATAAGCTTTCGTGGACAATTAGACTAAAAAAAAAAAAAAAAACCTAATTTGGAAGAAGTTTCATGCATAATTTCCTTAACTCTTCGTCTTTCATCCACGTCGTCACCACAATAGTAACAGTAGAATTAGAAAGAAGTTTCATGCATAATTTCCTTATTCCATGGAGTTAGGTCCTTGTGCTTATGCTTTTTGTAAACTTTGAGCCTGTTTGGGAGTGATTTTGAGAATTGATTTTTTGACCGTTAGGAAAAAAGTGAGGTCCACTTGTGAGAAAATAAGTCAAATATAAAGGCTGGAACAGTGAAATAATGATCAAAAAATCAAATTTTTGAGAGAAAAAATCGCTTCCAGATAGGCCCTTTATTAGTGTCAGCTTTTTTCATCCAACAAAGCAATTTCCAAAAGTTATTGGTCTCATAGTCATAGACCTTCGGCCGGATTTAACCCGAAAACCCACTAATAAACAATAACGCTCTGCGTGCTTTGGACTCTCTGGAGAAGCGCGTGTTTGTAGCAAAATTTAAACCGCGTGGTCAGGCCACTGAATGATTATTTAAACAGTGCTTTCTCTCACAATTTCTCCTCTGTACGGCGACTCCGTGTATCGTCGGGAAGCAAGTCGGCCGATCAGTTCCGGTGTCGTCTGACAGTGGTTCCTTTATCCTCTGCGCCGAGCATTATTTTATTTATTTATTTTTTCCCCCCCAAAAAAGCAATTAGTTTATACTTCGTACAATTAGCTGTTGGTGTAGGTGCTTGGTGGTAGCCGACACTAGCCGTGAAGTGAAAATTCAATTTAAAATGCTGGAAAAGCCGAGCATGGATTCAGCAGCTACCACTGCCAATGTTGCCACCGTCAAGCGCTACGCTCCTCCCAGTCAACGGTAATACAGAATTTTCTGCTTATCTCTCTCGGCAAGCGTGTGAAGTTTCTTTCTTTTTATTTTTGTTTTTTTTTCTTTTTGTTGATTTGTGAAAATTATGTGAATAATGGTATGATTTATTGGGTTGGGGTGTTCACGTTATCATTTATTGCTTGCTTGCAGGAACCGATCACTCGGAAGACGTAAATCTGGAGGAGGTAAGTTGAGTCTAAGCAATATTTAGGTTTCAATATTTTGCTATATTGAGATGCCATTGCTGATTGCTTCTCCTTTCTATTTCAAGCTGGTATCTGCTTTTGATTTCGGTTATTTCCCTTTCACTGATTAGTTGAACTTAATAATGGTTCAATTTATTTCAACCGTATGTATATAGTAGTATATGAAGAAAAGATTCAACTGCGAAAGTAGTTGTTTGTCTTTTTTGTTTCTTTGTTCCTTTATTTGAATGCAGGAGTTTATATAGGAAGATATTTAAAAATGGATATTAAGAGAAAGGATACCTATATATAGTGATATTTTGGTCTTCGATCATTTATATAAACTTTTGAATTTAAGCTCCATTTTGTTTGGTGTGAAAATGAGTTCCTAGACTTTCTCATCGGTGCCTCTTTTCTTGTAGATCAAGGTCTAAATACCTGTTCCTAGCTACTAAGTTTTGTATAAATTTATCAATTGCTGCAAGCCTTGTGTGCAGACATCTGGAAAAATTGGTGTTGATGATCAACGTAGCAGCTTTTGTCTCTCATTGATCTAAACACATTTCCCGATGTCTTGTGAACCTTGGGAAGAAAGGTACTGGGATTTTGTTCAAATTAGGGCTAAAAAGGTGCTCTAAGCCCAGTTGGGATGAGAAGTTCATAACCTAGATGATCCTGTTTAAATCTATGGCTAATCTCAAGACTATTTAGAGAAATAGGTGCACAAGAATCCCAAGGGAAGACTCAATCCAACGAAATCCTATTGTATTAAGAGGTTTACATTTTCTGGAGTACTTGGAAGCCTTATGCTAAATACTTAATTCAATTAATTGGAACCGCAAAGATGAGGAAAATTAAACAAAATTGCCTAGGACTGCCAGAAAATACCTCAATTGCACTATATTTTGAAGTAGAAGTTTTATACTAGTGTGTAGCAGTGAGATTCATGATTAGCATAGCATGATCATGTCAAGACAAAATTTCTGTAAAGGTTTTTATTAAGGTTTAGCATGTGAGGAGAGAGCTATATTTAGTTTTTGCTTTTCTAATAAAATGTTTTCTACATGTCTAAGGCTCCAAAACTTTCCTGTGGTTTGCTGACAAGTCTGATTGAATGTCATTTGCCATTCTCTTATTGCCTTTGGAACTTGGTATATGTATCATTTGATCCCAGTTTCCTTACACCCAGGTCTGAACATGTCTCCTTTACCAGGATTCCCTTGATTATGTCTATAAATGATTTGTTGCTCGTAAATGATTGGGAAGTTGAAGAGCGGAATTATAAGTAGCGACTCTCAAAGCATTTTGACTATTTGTTAATCAATATTTTAGCCCCCAGTTTTGACTAGAGAGATTCTTTTTAATTGTTAGCTAGTAATCTTTGATGCATTATCACATCGAACTGATGCTGCTATGTGTTCTGACCTCTAAGAGGTACCTTCTTTTTCCTCTCGTACAATTTTTGCCACAATGGTTAGTTTTAACTAACATCCCGATAAATGTTTTCTGAATTCTGAGATCTCCTTTTTTTCTTCATAAAACTGTTATTAGATTGCTAATGTAAATTAATGGCCGATAAAGTTTTATCAATCTTGTTGAGAGACCTAGAGCAAGTTTAAGAGATTGCTTCTCATCATCTCCTTCTCTGCCATGTACAGTGCGTAGTGAACTAATTCCATTGCGTAGTGAACTAATTCAAAGTAAAAAGTTAGATCCTTTTGTCATGCGGCAAGAAGATTGTTTACGATAGTCTTGTCTATGAATTTTCCTTTCAAAGGGAATTTATTTGAATTGATGATTATTCTCTTTTGAGGAGCCAAGTAGAATGAGGAAAAACCGTTAGATACCAAATGTATAAGGGAAAAGAAAAGGATGACTTAAATGATCATAATTTAAAGCAGTTTATGGGGAAGATAATAAAAATTGTGGCTGGTAACTTAACATGTTGGACAGACCATTTTAAAAGGAATATAAAATAATTCAGTAATCATCTTTCCATTGCTGATCTTTTTACCTCAAAAATTGGACCGCTATTGAGAGAAGCAGATATACAGAGATCTTGTCCCCCTATCAGTGACGATGTTAAAAATATAAAAGATGCAACACAATAACATAAATTGATGGAAATGATATGCGCTTATCTCAATCTAACATGGGAATCATCTCATGAGTTTAAAAGATGGGAGAGAAGTACTGTATTCAAATAATAAAATATTTAGTTTCCTTTCTGGCACATAAATGATGAGTGGGTGTTCTCTGTATGGCATGCATGACGTGAGAAACAGGATTATCTGATGCCTTCCAATATCAAGCATATTTGATCAACTGTCGCAACAAGCTCGTGCCAACTATATTTACAGTTTTTTTTCTGTTTTTTCTGATAAGTTGATTTTGCAGATCGACTAGAACGGGCAAACAGTTACTCTAATGATGGTGAGAAGAACACAGTTGGCAACTTCAGAAGTATTCCCATGGCAGGTCATGGAGATGCTAGTGGCAACAATCGCACAAATGAGAATCCTCGTTCGAAGTTAATACCTTTACATGGGTGTTGCAACAGTGAAGCTCTTCGTCTTTTGAATGACCGTATGTTTTGCTTTCTCACTTCCTGGATTACATTGTATAGTCATTTGCCCTTGTGATGCATTGTAATTTCTAAATTTTGAGTGCGTTCAATCATTGTCATTGGAATATATGCAAGAGCTACACCTAATTAAATATTTTTGTTAATGGACTAGCTAACCCTGCTATTGCTGCTTATTGAAGCTATTTTTCTCTAAAATTAGATTTTGATGTTATGTAGATTATTAACTCTTTTGAATCGCAGAAATTGCTGCAGTAATTACTTCAGGACACCATGTTTGGCTGTTTTTCTTTGAAATACAGTAAAAAAATTTCAGTATTCTTGCATTCCAGAGTAACTGTTCATTTTCTGTTCAGAGAAAAACTTCTAGGTGGTATTGATGGCTAGGAGTATTATACAAGTGCACTGCTGATACTAGCTTTCTCGCTTTTGGAATGTATTTAGCACGTGACATACCTGGATGTCTTATTAATCACTTGGTTTAAAATAGATTGCTTATCTATTTACCAATGCAGGTTGGACAGCTGCCATGACCGCACTCAATAATTTGCCCGAAGATTCAGCTGGTGAGTAAAAGCAGTGCTGAAGATCTAACTGCTAAACTAGTTCAATTGTTGGCTACCTTTTCTTTTTGCGTTTAGTTTAATCATAATTCTATAAGGATGTGACGAAGAACTCTTGTAAACAACCAACAATCAGAAATTTCTAAGGGTTGAGAAAAATTGGGTTTTTTTTGTGGGGGGGGAATTATGCTTGTATGCGATAGTCAAAGTAAGTAATAAAATGCATAAATATCTTTATATAGGGTTCCAACTAATCTAACTTAAGCATGACTAAAAGACGAAACAAAATACTAGAAAATCATTACAAATAAACCCTGATTGTTTTTCCTAAAATAAGTACCCAACTTGGCAAATCTTCAACGTTATATTGTTAAGGATCCCCATCAGATTGTTTAGAGAGGCTTCCTTCTGTCATGGATATCATTAGACATGACTGTATACGCAGGTAAACTCTGTCTGCCTTGTTTGAATGTGTCATCTTTTGTAATACAATTTCTTTTCACTTGAAACTATGCTAGGGTGTACATTCTAGATATGGACATTCCATGTACATATAAAGTATACTAGAGCATTTCTATGTTGTTCAAGCTCGTTATGGGTTCCAATATATTGAACAGAAAAAATTCATTCAAGTCAATTCAGTTCTCTTGTAAACAATCATATTGGGAACTTTCCTGATTCTATACCAAATTCCATATGCAGTCTTATCCGGTGCGCCTATCGCAACCTCAGGGCAAGCTTAATTTTGGAAAAAATATGAGTTCTCCCATGTAACTTTTAGATTAAAAATTTGCATATCCATGGAACAACTTACATGAGTTAATTATTATAAAATCGAACTGCAAAACTTTGGAAGTAAATATATTGTCCTTATCAAGCAAAATTTGAAACTAGTTGTATGTACCATAGTAAATCTTTAACTTTTAAGCAACTGTTTTGTCGAATAAAAAAGAAAATGATGCAAGTTTAACATTATCTATTTACCATCCATTTCATCACTCTCTTCTTTATTTTCCTCAAGAAGTTCTTTGGTTGCTAATCTGTAATGACCTATATTGACCTTCCATTCTTGTGAAATTTTTGACATGCACTATGTTTGCAACAAGTTCTCAAAGTTTGTTTATATACTTGTTCAACATCCAAACCTGGTTATAATTTTTAAACTTGGTTGACAATGTGTGTTATTGATATTCAGATACTAAAGAGTCAACAGTTAATTTTCACATATAATTTTTGATTTTCTAGCATTGAGTTAAAGAGCTATTTCTAAATTTTTCACGTTATGTTTACCAGAAAGGCCCATCTTGTATTCAAGAAAAAGTGCACCAGCCTGGGGCCAAGCTGTCGTCCTTCCACATTTGGTATGATGATGTCTTATCCTCTCACTTGAGCCCTTGCCAACCCCTCCCCACCCCAAAGAAAAACACTAAGGGGAAAAGAAATGGAAAGAACACATCACGTGTGATATGGTTTTTGACATCTTGCCTGCAGCTAATGCAACCAGCAGGTGGGCCTTCTACTGGTTTGCAGAGCGACTTCTTGACTGAACTCAGGCAGGCAATGCACAAAGCAAGTACTGGAGCTAACGCCTAAACGGTACTGCATATGGTTAAAATGCAACGTACTCACGTTCGGTCTTCAGATCCTGCGAGGTGGGATTAGATAATTTGTTGCTCATCGAAACAGTTTCCATGTTTGCTACTTATATGATGTGTAATTTATCTTTCGACCTCAGAAGTTTCTGCAATATAACTGCTTCCATATGGTGTGTATGTTGATTATCATCTATGTTGTCCTTTAGTAGGTAATATGTTAAATTATGGAAATTTATGTGACTGCTATTAAAAAAAAAAAAAAAAGAACAAACTTATTATCATTCAGTCTTATTATAATGCTAATTACTCTATAAGAATGTGATTAGCAATGCCTTGTATTCACATGGTATCACTACTATCAAGTGGTCTTTTGTTTAGTTTAGAATCTTTAGGTATATTTTATTCTGGTGAATGCCTTTCTGCATTTTGACTTCCTTGCATCATATCTTAACTCACAAATCAGCTGCATTATACTCTACAATTGGGCACCAACTATGTCGAAGCACTGAACCGACGTAACAATGGCAAAGAGGACAGGTAAAATTATTCTGTCTCTGCTTCGTGGCATCTAATTAACGGATGCAGTAATCTTGGTTTCGTGTAACCCACGAGTCAAATCAATTGCTACAACCACATTACTGGTGATGTCGTAGCAGTTCTCATTATAAGTTTTGTTAACTTGTTCTAGATTTAAGTTGTTGTTATTTTCTTTGATTAAGTTTAATAAAATATATTGGGATGGATAGATGATAAGGGCGCTCTGTAAACATCGACATAGTTAGACAAAGGAAATGCAGCCCCACACTAGAGTTTAAAAAAGCTCAAGAAACCAAGGCTAAACCTATCCATAACCCATATCACGAAACTGACAAGTCTGCCTCATAAAATCACTCATCGAGAAATTCAGAAAAATGCGGTACCAAAGTTGATTGGATTCAATTTTAGGTACAGATCCTCAAGAACCCAGCTCAAATTTGACAAGATTTTTAATTAAAACAATTATTCTACTTGTACAGAAGATTTTGTACAGATAGGTTGACAGTTGCATGCATCCCTTGATTTGAATTTCAAGGGACAAATGCATGTCACGTGAGAGGTGTCTTTGCCAAATATGTTATTTAGGAATCTTTTTTATTTTACTTGGTTGGACCAGTATGCATTCGCCACCAAGAGTTGTCTATCTATATGAAAAATGTGATTTAAAAGTACAAATTGAAATTTACAAGTATCTTTAATCTTCTTGACAATGAATTTGCCTTCTAGATTGAGATGACCACCCTTTGATTCATTCTTTTGATTCTTGTATAATACCGTTTCAGTATTTTCGAGTGCCATTCAACCTACTTCATCATGACTGTTTCAGATGGTAAACGAGCCAAATTACTGCGATAAATTTGCACTTTCTTTCATTCAAAGCTATAAATATAAATAAATTGAGTGATTTTGTTCAATTATATGTAGGATCCAAATAAACTAGGATACATCTCTAGTGATGATGAAAAAACGCAACGGCAAATTCTAGAACACGACGCAATATCTTCATCTCGTACATTTGAAGCGTCGAACAAAAGAGATGACTTACAAATTCACTATACTATTTCCTCAAATTCTTCAATGGAGGGAAGGCCAACTGATTTGCAGAACTCTTAGAAACTATAAATTCAATTGCTGATGGATATCTTTATAAATCCTATAAAATTGGAGAGAACACGGGCTAAATTTTTTCTCTTTTTAAATGTCACATTAAATTGAGGTTAACAAGGTGGTTAGATTTGTCGAACTAAGCCTCATTAGTTTACAATGCAATCAACTTAAAATAGATTTGACGACAATAATCAACTATAATAAGAAATTAAACAAAATTTACATCATTTTATTTGTAAATGTATGTGCACATTTATCTTTTAAGATAGATACGAAATACTAAACATAGTTCATCATGTCAAAATATACGAACATTTCTAGTAATGTCCACTTAACCGTCCAGACATTGCATCAAGGCAATGTAAGGACGATGAACTCAATTGCATCTGAAATTTCAATTTCTTCAATTGGAGTTGAGGGCTTGCTTTCTTCAAATGGAGTTGGGGACTTGCTGGGGTTAGGTGAACGATTTAGAACCTTGTCGCGTAAATATCTCGAAGCCTCAAGCAGCTTCCTTAGGCCATCTCTAGTGCTACACTAAATTTTGCACCAAACCAAAATTCATTTCAATTCATTAAATCAAAAGTTACACCAAATGAACAGTGTTTAACCATTTCTTCCCTTTTTTTATTCTTTATAATTTATTTATTTGAAATATTATTTATTTAATTATTTTATAAATACATAAATTATTAAATAAATAATTACATTAAATTACGAAGATTAAATTCATTAATAAATATAAAAAAAATATAGTACAATTAATAAAAACACTACTACAACAAAAATATTAAATCAAGCCATCAGAAAAAAGTACAATGAATTTTGAATTTGGATATTAAGATATTATGAAGTCGCAAAATTTGTGCAATTTAATTCTCAAAATTCATATATGTATTCTTTTATTGAAATAAAGTTAGATCATCATATGTATGTCGCTATTTAATAAATATCGTGTTAACTTTAAAAAGTATAGTGTTGCATTGAAGCAACTCTGCACCAAAAATGGTGCAATTTGATGATTTGGGGTTCACATTGGAGATGTCCTTAGGCATTTCTTTCTCATTCTCTCATGCCAAGATTAAGGCTAGGGTGCATGCAAAGGTTTCTTCCGTCTGGCCCTCGAGTGCAAAGGCAGAAAGAAGCTTAACTGCATGACTCATCCTCAAGTAGGGACGAAAGTTGACCTTAGTAATCCAACGATGCCGAGTGAAAGGGCTATCGCTCAACGGCTAAAATTTACTAGCGAAACAGGTTGATCTTCCTGCATGTGGGCACGGATATGTTCAGCCTCTCATTCAACAGTGGATGATCTTGGTAGAAGAACGTGCTAGTTTGGATGGCTGTTGGTATTTTAATTTTAGATTGAATCTTGTAATTGTTAGAGGTTGTATTGGTAAAATCCCTAAATTCACTTAAGTATTCATTCATATGCAGTAGAAACTCATAAGATGAGAATAAATATGAGAATCTGATTACTATAATTCAACTTGTGAAGCTGTGTGTGTATATAAAGAACAGAGGAGAGAAGAACCAAAATTTAAAGTCTGTTCAACTAGGGATCGAAAAGCAACTTAACTATTTGACGAAGGATTATGTCAGGGGCCGGAGCTAGAGGTGGAATTAGGAAAAATAATAATAATGAATGAATGAATAAATAAGGTACTATATAGTACATATATACAACATTTTTTTTACCAGGTTGGTTGGCTGGACTATACCAATGTTTCAAACCTATTGTTCAGTTTGAAATTTTGAATCCCACTCATTTAATTACATCTGAATATTATTCTACAACCCAAAAATCTACATGAGAGTTTCTGATTCTGAAAGAATAATGCTATGCAACCTGAGAAGGGTTACAACCGAAGTTTAAGTAGCGCTCGATGATAGACTAAATGAAAAATGAAATTAAATTTCACTTATTATTTAAGGTCACATTTAACGTCACCTATACTAAATAGCATTACTCTTTCGAAATTCTAAAGTCTTTGGTCTTTCGAATCTCTAAATCATGTGCGAGTTGAACCTCAGCCAGTTCCTGAGACGAAATTCCACTTATACGCATTCCAGCAGCAGAACCATCAGTTGAACACCTTTGTGAAGAACCACCAGATGCAGTCCTCAACCGTTTCTTGTTCCTCACCTTCTCGGCCCAACCCAGAAGGCCAGTTCGCACATGGTCGTCAAATATCGACTTCTTGAAATGCGATCCCATCTTCGTTCCCCAGACAAAGACGGACACAGTTTTAAGGTAAATTTTGTTTTTTTTTATCGAGAATCAAATTAAGAAACATCTAGAGTAGTTACCTGTGTAACGAGAGCATAGAGTGGTAACGTGCTGTAGCTGCAGAGCACCTGAATGAAAATACTGAACTAGCCATACAATCATCAGGAAGAAGCATAAAACAACTAAGAGCAATGAAATTCCATTAGGAAAAACACCTTCGGTCCCTGAACTTATAACGAAGTTTTAGTCGCCAGAGCTTTTTATGTTCTAACATGAAACTTTGCTATAAGTTCATTGACTCACAGTGGTTTAACCCAGAAAGAGAACTAGAGCAATGGCAGAAAATTTAGAAAGGATTATTTACCCTATTAGAATCCTAGGAACAATATACTGGACTTGTCCCATTATGCAGGAGTCAAAACCATATTGAACCTATAAGTAATGAAATAAATTATGGGCACAGCAAATAGCTATTTATATCATGAGTCAAGTTTAACGACTCCACATACCCATATCCAGAAGAAAAACGCGATCTCAAAAGCATTTTGAAAGAGAATAAAATGAATCAAAAGAAGTATGACATGAGGTCGATGGAACCAAAAGTGATCGTCAGAAGGTTGAACGACCAATTCACCCTCAATGGCTACATGTTTCTCGGCAACCTCATGAGCCAATTGGGAAATCACATGCTCCAGCTTCGTTCCCACGGCAAGTAGAAGCTGAAAAGATTACCACAAAACTTGTAATTATGGAAAGAAATAACTCCATTTGGTGAAAAAATGAGCCCTGTATTGCAATGTCACAAGTTTTATCAAAAGCTTGAGTTCATAGGAATAACTTTCTTGGATACTTCTTAAGCGTACCTTTAATTAACTTTTTGTTTTCAAATATGTTTAGACAAGTTAGTTTTTTCTTATAAGTAAGACAATTTACTTATTTTTGTGAGTACGACAAGAGTTGTACTTCAACATAAGTACTTATTACAACTTTGACAAAAGTAAAAGTTAAACTACTTTCAAAAGTTACTTATTTACTCACAGGAATCTTTTAAGCTTAGTCAAAGTTGAACTTTTAATCTGCAAACCCAACAGAAGATAAAGCCTTCATTTGTGAAAAATTTATAAATGCTTTAACTTATAAATATATAGAAATGAGGGATGGATAAATAGATAATACTTGTCAGTTTTTTGGAATGCGTGATTAAAAATGAAATTGACCTTTTACAAATAATTTATAATTTTCGCCAAAGGGAGGCTAAGAAAAGTGATGCATCCTTTTCAGTTTTGAGAAAGCAAGCAGGAAAGGCTAACAAAACATATTATGCAAGTGATAATTGTGTTAACAATACTTACAACAAAAGGAATGAATGCCATCCAAAAATATGTATGCCAACCTGCACACAAGAAAAATAATTTTTCACATAAACCTAAGTTATAATCTTGTAGTAGATGCAAATCAAAGCTAGTGATAAATTATATCAAGAACTCGACTAGGCATAAGAATCCTAATGGGACGCAAACTGAATATGAAATCGAAAAGGTCCATTGAGGGGCTTACCGTTTATATTCAACAACAAGAAGAGTATGAAAAATATCCACAAGTACCAACTGCAGTAAGTAAAAGAAGATATTAATTCATTTATTAAGCAGAATCACCATCCAAAAGTGCTGCTTTTAAGACAAGAACGACATCCTTTTCTACATTAACTAGATTTACGTTAAGACTTAGTGGAAATGATCTCTTACCCATGGTGGGTAGAATAAAATATGTCCACGTCAACGGTCAATCCTACAATTGTTGCCACGTTAGCGTGTTGAATTATCAAGAATTGTAGGTTTGGGCAAGATAACTCATACCCAACATAGGTAGGAGATCATTTTTGTAGGACTTGCATTATTTAAAATAAACGGATATCACATACCGTATACCTACTACAGTCTTGAAGTCGGCTTCTAGAGCTCTTATCATATAACTATGGAAGTTAAACTTTGGATTCCCTCTACAATGTGTCTGTGTCAAGGTCAAATTCCTTGTCAGCCGCTTACAACAAAAGAATAAAGCATATTCAAACTTAAGGAACGACGATATCTGAGAATATCAAGCTCTTACCATAATAAAGCCTAGTCGGAGTGCTGAATAATCTGATTTGGTAACAGACCCATAAAATTGCTTAAAAAAAGATTGCTGTAAAATAACAAAAGGCATATGAGAATTCGAACAATAACACACATGTAAAAGACAACCCCGACCAAGTCAGGATACTACAAAACCATGTACATTGTCATCCTCAATTTTCACCATGGGATCAAATCAAATATTAGAGGAATAAGCACAGGAAAGGAAAGCTTAAACTATTAGAGGAATGACACCTTTATTTATTGAAATTGTGTCATCAACACCCCCTTGTGTCATCCTACCTCTATAATATGTTAACCACTTTATCTAAAAATTTAAGCCATTAGAGAGAGGAAACATTTGTTTGATCTAGTTTAGATCTTGAACATGAATCGATGACTAAAGTCACCAAAACAATGATTTTCACCTCTGCAAAATCCAAGTATTTCGAGCATCAGTTAATTTTTTTTTTTTTTTTTTTCAGTTAAACTTTGTTAGTTCTATGTATTAGCCTAATATAAATATGCTTTTGGTCCCCCCCCGCTATGCCTTTGCTAGGATGATATTCCATATTCTAGGAACAAAGAAAAAACTTACCAACCAACTCAACAGGGCTGAATGCTTCTCCACACCCGAAAATCGCTTCTTGATGAAATCGTGTTGATGGACATGGGTGAAGCATGGTTTCAGAGCTGCACATTATCATTTATGATCGGGATATACAAATTATGAATTTTAACGATCTTTTTACAGAAAAATATTGGACATAATTTTTAGTGAATAGAACACAAACTCCAGTGCTTAGAATAGGTCAAGACCCTTTCAGTACATAAAAGAACATGATGATTAAAAATCTTGTTCATTGTAGTCTCACAATCTTCCCTTTTCATGCAAAAATCGTCAAGATAACATCTTAATCTAAATTGTCAATTCGTACCTGGTTCTGTGTTATAACTATCTTTTGAAATAGAATCCTCCCAATGCTTCCATTGGTGAATCTACATTAAAAATTTATCGTTAGCTATGAAATAGAAAGGAAAGACTGTATATACATAACAGATTAAACAATTTAATCTCACCTTTGCCCCTCCAAATACAACCGTGAGAACAGAAAGTGTCACGTGCACAACTGCTAGAACAAAGATAAAGGTATGGAGATGATGCAATGATTCTAGAGACAATAGTGGGACTTTACCCTGCAGAAACAAAGTTAAGAAACTTGAGTACTTACATCTGTTCCACGAAATAGAACAAAAACAACATACAAAACCGCAAACCGTGTAAAATTTAACACAGCAAGAACAAAGATTGAAGAGGAAATGATGAATCTGCCATATTCTTATTTAATTCTCTGGATGTGTTTTACAGGGAGCAGCTCGTTTCTATATATAGAAAAATGCTATACATAAAAGACAAAGAATATACAGGTGGCAAAACAAATTAACTAATTCTAGAACCTTCAGTAAAAATAACCGACTGAAAAATTACAAAAATGCCTATGCTGCTGATTGTGCTGCTGCTGACTGTTGCTGATTGTCACCATGTTCCAATACCCCCCCCCCAGATGGAGAATATATATTAATTATTCCCATCTTGGAGAGGTGAGATGAGAGGATGTGGGATGGTAGAGACTTGGTAAAGATATCAGCCAATTGAGAATGGGTAGAGACATAAGCAGTCTTTATGCTCCCTTCTTGTATTTTGTCGCGAATCAAGTGGCAGTCGACTTCAATATGCTTTGTACGTTCGTGAAATACAGGGTTGGCAGCTATATGCAAGGCAGCCTGATTATCACAGTAAAGAATGGCAGGTTGTGGGTGATCAACCTTTAAATCAGCAAGTAGTTGCCTTAACCAAGTAAATTCTGAACAAGTGGTAGACATGGCACGGTATTCTGCTTCAGCTGAAGAGCGAGAGACAATACTTTGCTTCTTTGATTTCCAAGAAATGAGAGAATTGCCTAAGAAAATGCAAAATCCGGTGGTAGATCGTCTAGTGTCTGGGCAAGATGCCCAATCTGAATCACAATATCCTTGGAGACTAAGGGGAGATGATGAAGAAAGAATAATACCTTGTCCAGGAGCACGTTTAAGGTATTTGAGAATTTTGTTTGCAGCAGCTAGGTGAATGGTGGAAGGGTGAGCCATAAACTGGCTGAGAGTTTGAACACTATAACTAATGTCTGGTCTGGTTATGGTAAGGTACAAGAGTCGGCCAATGAGTCTTCGATAAACACTGGGATCTGGTAAGGGAAAGCCAGAGTCTTTGCTGAGTCCATGATTTTGTTCTATAGGAATTTTGGTAGGTTTTGATCCTAGTGTACCTAAGTCTACCAGAATGTCTAAGGTGTATTTGCGTTGACAAAGGTGAATGCCAAGTGGAGATCTAGCTACTTCAATGCCAAGAAAGTATCGTAAATTTCCAAGATCTTTGATTTTGAAATGTTGGTTTAAAAATTCTTTGATCATATTGATTGAATCAAGGGAATTGCTAGCCACAACAATGTCGTTAACATATACCAGTAGGGCAGTGAAATGTTCACCATCAGACCAGGTAAATAAACTATAATCCGATTTGGACTGAATGAAGCCAAAAGAGGTAAGAGAAGTAGAGAATTTTGAATACCATTGCCTAGAAGCCTGTTTAAGGCCATAAAGGCTGCGAAGCAGTTTGCAAACCTGGCCAGGTTTCCCTTTATTGTATCCAGGAGGCCGTTTCATATAAATTTCCTCATTAAGTTCTCCATGAAGGAAAGCATTGTTGACGTCAAATTGTCGGAGATGCCACCCTTTAATGGCAGCTAGAGCTAAAAGAGTTCTGACAGTGACCATTTTAGCAACTGGGGAGAAAGTTTCATGATAGTCCACTCCTTCTTGTTGAGTGAATCCCTTGGCTACCAAGCGAGCCTTTTTCCTTTCCACTGTACCATCAGATTTGTACTTAGTTTTGAACACGTATTTGCAATCAATAGCATCTTTTCCATGTGGGAGATCAGTAACAACCCAAGTATTATTGACTTCTAAGGCATCAAGTTCAGCTTCTATTGCCTTACACCAGTCTTGGTCCTTGACAGCCTGTTTATATGTTTGTAGGTCAGTGTGTAAGGAAATAGAAGAGGTGAAAGCTAAGTAAGTTGGTGACAGGTGTTGATAAGAAAGTGAATGTGTTAAAGGGAATTTGGATGCAAATTGAGTAGGTGAGCCGAGTGAAGCTTGTTGACAGTGGAAATCTTGAAAGTATTGAGGAGCTCTTCGTATCCTGGTTGATCTTCTAAGTATGTTTTCAATGGGTGGATCAGATGATGAGGTAATGGGGGATTCAGTATGAGAGGCTAACTCTAAATGTGTAGAAGGAGAATCCGTATTAGGGGACAAAGGGAGAGAGTAGGATGTGGTTGCGGGATCCATAGAAGATGATTGAAGTGGAGATGGAATGTTGGTTGAGGGATTCATAGTCTGATGAAAATCAGTAGCAACAGGAAGAAGAGGAGCATGATTGGTTGTGTCACTAAATGGAAAATGTCCTTCATGAAAAATAACATCACGAGATATGAAAATCGATTGTGTGTTAAGGTCTAGGAGTTTGTATCCTTTTACACCAAAAGGATACCCAAGAAAAACACATTTTCTTCCTCGAAGGTCAAATTTCTTCCGGTCTCTAGATAGAGTGGAGGCAAAACACAAGCAGCCAAATGTTTTCATGTGAGAATATGATGGTTCTTTGTTAAACAATAACTCAAAAGGAGTTTTATTTGACAGTAGAGGCGCTGGGATACGATTAATTATATACACGGCAGTTAAAATGCAATCATTCCAGAATTTTGCAGGTAGTTTGGCTTGAATTTTGAGTGATCGAGCTATATTCAAGAGATGCTGATGTTTTCTTTCAACAATTCCGTTTTGTTGGGGCGATTCTACACAAGTTCTATGATGAATAATGCCCTTTTTATTGAAGAAGTCCTTCATTTGAAATTCTAGTCCATTATCACTTCGAAGGATTTTAATCTTAGCACTAAATTGTGTTTCCACCAAACTACAGAATGCTTCTAAACAGGCCCTAGTGTCAGATTTTGCTTTAAGAAGATAAACCCAAGTACTTCTAGAGAAATCATCGACAATGGTTAGAAAATACTTGGATCCATCATAAGCTTCTGTAGAACTTGGTCCCCAAATATCACAATGAATGAGTTCGAAATTTTGTTTGGTTTTATGGGTGCTGACAGGAAATGGTAATCTATGTTGTTTTGCAAGTGGACATACATAACAAGGAACATCTCGAGTAAATCTTTCTTAACAATAGGATCAGAAATTAAATTCAACCTTGAGAAAGGTGTATGGCCAAGTCTAAGATGCCATAGCTGGGAAACAATAGAATTACTAGAAGGAGCTGAAGCAAACATGCTCTTATGTAAAGAAAAATGATCAACTAAGGCTGTTGGAGGCACTTCAGTGACCAGCAGATGATATAAACCATTCCTCATTTCACCCATGCCAATCGTGGTCCAAGATAAAAGGTCTTGAATAAAGCAAGAGTGTGAGAAGAAAATGAAGCAACAAGTGTGGGAGTTAGCCAATTGTTTAGCAGAAATTAGATTGAAATTAAAAGAGGGTACGCATAAGACATTCTTCAGAATAAGGTTTCTTGTGATCCTAACTGTGCCTACATGACTAACAGGTGCCTTGCTTCCATTGGGCAGATTTACAATGCATGGAAGTTGAGATGTAATGGATGTAAAAAATGAAGTACTACATATCATGTGGTCTGTGGCACCAGTGTCTATGATCCAGGGCAGATCAATAAAATTTTGTTTTTGTTTGGGCTGAAGAACAAAGGCTGAGAGATATACCAGACATGTTGATATCCTGTGGACTACTGACTGTGGGATTGAAAGCTGTCTGGACTTGGTTTACTGAATGAGTGGCAATAGTAGCATCCCTTGGCTGAATTAGGGCCAATAGTTGTTGATATTGATCTTTGGTAAAGATCATTTTCTCTTCAGCTATTTCTTCTTGGTCCAGAGAGGTCAGATTTGCAAAAGGACCAGATGTCTTACTCCTGTTATGAAGTTTATGTCCAGGTGGATACCCATTCAGCTTGTAGCACTTATCTACCACATGTCCTGACATGTGGCAATGACTACAAATGGGTGCCTCAGCATTTCCAACCTTGAAGCAATGTTCCAAAAGATGACCATTTATATGGCAGTGAGTACAATAAGGTCTTTCGTGTTTTTGAGGAAATGACTTCTTGGCATTGGGTTTGGAAAGGGTAAAACTCCTTTTGACAGTGAAGGCAATAGAATTAGGAGAGGGTGTGGCAGATAACATGGTGTGTTGTTTTTCTTGTTGTTGAATCATAGAGAAAATTTTATTCACAGGAGGCAAAGGATCCAGTATCATGATTTGATCTCGAATGTTACTGTAAGATTCATTTAATCCCATCAAAAATTGAATCACACAGTCCCGTTGGTATCTATCCAGTAAGATTTTAAGTTTTCCACAATTGCAATCTGGGACTGGGTCATAAACAGCCAATTCATCCCATAGTGATTTCAGCTTTCCATAATAAATACTTACAGGTTCTTGATCTTGTTGTAGTGCAGCCAACGCCTTCTTCAATTGGAATATGCGAGGCCCATTCTGCTGGGTAAATCGATCCTTTAACTCGGCCCAGATTTCTGAAGCATCATCAACTAATGCTATGCTGGATTTCAAGTTTTGGCTAATAGAATTTTGCAACCAAGAAACCACCAGATCATTGCACCGTTCCCATGCTTCAAAAAGTGGATCAGCAATGTCCTTGGGCTTAACTAATGTACCATTGACAAAACCAAGCTTGTTTTTAGCTCGAAGTGCTCGACACATAGCCCTCGACCAGGTAGTGTAATTGTCTGTAGTGAGTAGTTCTGGAACCAACGGAACCGAAGGATTATCTCCATGGTCCAGACGGTAAGGATTAGTAACATTGTTGAAATCAAGAAATGGGGATGGAAGAGTGGGAGGATTCGGATTGGTTGAATTAGCAGCCATGGTTGGGTCTAGGGTTGTTGAGCTCGAAGTGCTCGACACATAGCCCTCGACCAGGTAGTGTAATTGTCTGTAGTGAGTAGTTCTGGAACCAACGGAATCGAAGGATTATCTCCATGGTCCAGACGGTAAGGATTAGTAACATTGTTGAAATCAAGAAATGGGGATGGAAGAGTGGGAGGATTCGGATTGGTTGAATTAGCAGCCATGGTTGGGTCTAGGGTTGTTGATTCAGCTGCCATGAATGTTGTTCTTTATTTAAAACCTTGCTCTGATACCATGTAAAATTTAACACAGCAAGAACAAAGATTGAAGAGGAAATGATGAATCTGCCATATTCTTATTTAATTCTCTGGATGTGTTTTACAGGGAGCAGCTCGTTTCTATATATAGAAAAATGCTATACATAAAAGACAAAGAATATACAGGTAGCAAAACAAATTAACTAATTCTAGAACCTTCAGTAAAAATAACCGACTGAAAAATTACAAAAATGCCTATGCTGCTGATTGTGCTGCTGTTGACTGTTGCTGATTGTCACCATGTTCCAATAACAAATAATAATAATATGGAAATAAACACTCGAGAGATAGATGCATGACATGCATCACAGCTCGAATATTTTGAGGTTTCTGTATATGTTATACGAAGTTCCTCTGCATTTTGTTCTACACTAGTCAGTGAAATCACTTTCAAGTGTTGTTAGGTTCATGTTTTTGAAGAGCAATGCTAAATGTACATGGAAATTTTATAGGGAGTTTACCACATGGCAACATTTCATTGGATTTTGGGCAAAAAAATAGATAAAGCGGCCAATTGGGTGCTGCCTTCTCAGCACCTTTAAAACTCCATGTGCATTCCCCTTGTACAAGTATCATTTCTGGTTTTTGAATAGCATTCACACTGTTATCTCAGCTTCCTTTCTTTATGCTAGTCCAAGTCATTCCTTCGTTTTCCAATATGCCGCCAGTGCCTAGTTTAGTTTAGCCCGGAACTGCTGCCTCATTTTTTCATACTAAACAAACCATACAAGAAGGACAGTCTTTCTTTAGAATGCTAGCATTTTTTCTAGACAACCTAGGATGCTAGATCAGTTAACAGTACACGCACACAATCCTTGATCCACACAAAACTTATTCAATTTTCCTTCACTGTCAAAGATCCTCAAGCACTTTGTTGGAAAAAAAAATTTCTAATTCCAAAAAGGATAGTGATGCAAGCTCACAGCTATTCATGTCTTAAGCACAAGAAAAACTAATAAAATACCATTGATATGAACACTGATTATGATAATAGACCCTCATTCTGATTAGTAATAAATAGATGAAAGGCAACACGACTTCAAATGGAATAGAATCTCTCCCTAAGTGATGTGAGACAAAACGTCAAAATTCACTCTCCATGACCCAAAGAGAAGTGGAAAAAAAGAGTAATCTCATTACCTTAGCCTTACAATAATCTTCACTATCTTCAGCAAGCAAGCGCCTCTTATGGAACATCGAATCGGGAATAATTTTAAGGGATTCTTCTCCACCAGATGATGAAGCAACGGATGGCAATGAGCAAGGAAGTAAATGTGTCATTGTATCATCAGGCACACAAAGCTTTACTATACGGGCTTGAAATGCAGTCAGCAAAAGTGATATAAATCCCAACAGCATCAACTCTAAATTTACCAAAAATCATCCATTAGTCAATAAATCCAAATAAATCATCATGATGGAGAACGAAAAATGTAAAATACCTTTTTTACATGGGGTCAAGTGTTGTTACTACCCATTTATGAAAATTGTTCCTTGTAGGCTTTTGATTACAATAAAAGAAGAAGTATCTTGTGTGCATGGGTAATGAATACAAATAGTCCTCTCTAAGGAGTTAGGGATGGTTAAGAGCATCCAAAACCCAAATTTGACATACAAAAGAGAGCAAGTTCTTCTGTGCAAACGAAACCTCAGAGAGATGAAGAGATACCTTCTTTAACTTTTTGTAAAGCCTCGTAGAGGGGCTTTTGGTTCTTCTTCTTTAAATACTGCATGCATTATAAAACATGAAATTTTAGCATCAGTAAAATACAAACAAAGGGCATTATAATTCAATAAAAAATACTTGAAGATTTAAACCCCAATAAAGCATGTGGAAGACAAAATTTAATAAGTAAATAAATGAGTTTCTAATATCTTAGTCTAGTTGTCAATCATTTATGAAAATTTTGCACGTCCAGCACCTTGATCAAAAATGAATTCTTTTTGCACACAAGCAGCAAATAATTACGTGAAAATCAAGTAAATTTCTTCATTCTTTCTCTTGTTCATTCAGATTCATATTGGAATATTAAAAATTAAATCAATATTGGAACATAAAAAACCAGTATTTCAAAATTGTTATGCGTAACACATATATACAGCATTATAAAGAAGGAGAACGAGAAATGATGAGGGACCACCTTGCCGGTAAAGTGGAGGGAGCGTTCGACGGCGAGAGAGATGCCGACGATGACAGTACAGACTGCGGCAACCACCCATGTTGGAGTGAACTCCAATGTCGTCCCTTCTTCTTCCTTACCAGCCATTATTTCTTTTCCGTAAATTCAGAAATCGAAATCTAAATATGAATCGTCATATAAAAATGAAGAAAAACTAAAATGAAAAAAATGTGAATCCGGGATTTCTTGTTTCAAAAGATGGAACAAACCCCGGTGCAGGTGGAGAGGAGGAGGTGGTGAGAGATAAAAGAAGTAAGAAAATATACGATAGATTAATGTTTGGTCTGAAAAATGGGAAATGTAGGAGATTAGGATAGAAGGTGTCCCGAGATTTGAAGCGTCCGACAACTATATATAGACATTAACGCTGCACCATGCTTGAAATTAGCAAGTCCTGGGTTACAATGCATCCAGGTTCAAATAAACTCGTCAACATGAAATTCGAACTCAGCTCGACCCTGAGCTCATTTAAATACGAGTCCAAGCCGATGAATGGCTCTTGACCATTACCACTTTTTAAGTTCAAAGAAAAGTTACTTTCAAAGTATCGATTACGACTGGACATAACTTCTCGAACCAAACTGGACTCGATTGGAACTAAACTGAATCGAGCGTTTCTTCTTAAGTTAAATACTCGAACGAGCATCTGAATCAAGAACTGACAGGTTTGGTTCGATTCCCGATTCTAGATCGAGAACCGAAAATCGAATCTCTATAATTTTTTTAATTTATTTATTTTAAATAAACCAAACTTTTTTTTTATTTGGAAATAAATTTGCTAACTAATTACTTTTGCTCAAACCAAAAAATATGATTTTACTATTTCTCATTTTCAGTCCAATCTCAACTTATTCAAATTAATGTAAGTTTTACCCATATTTGTTATTATACTGTGGTGCTATTTCTATCGTTATAGAGAAATCGAATTGAAACTTGATTGCGCTGCTCTTAATTACTATAAGCTCGCTATCTTCCTCTTCCTTTGATTTTAACAATCAACTTTATGAAGAACTCAGTAAAGAGAGACGCAAAATGAAACATTAGATTATACTATATTATTTTATAAGATTTAAGATTGAACATGTCATTAATTGAATTAGCATAGCTTTGTAAATATATAAAAAAAAAAATAATTATAATATGAAGCCTGAGAATCGAATGTAATCGAACTAAATTAAATGAATCTGAATCTGAACCTGAACGATTCCATAATTAAATTTGCTCCTGATGGTTCTACTTACTAAATACCCGAAAATTCCGAGTTTGATTTGGTTCTAAAAAGAATCGAATCGAACCGAACCAATTCGGACCATGTCCAGCCTTAGTGTTGAGCATTCAACATGTCTTATTAGGGTTGTATATAATTTGGTTTGGTTCGATTTTATTTGATTTCGTACTATAATTAAATTTTTGATATTGACAACAATACTAGCTCTTTACATGTTTAGTCTTAACTCTTACAATGACACTATATTCACTTTTACAAAATAACGTAGTCTAATTTAGAAATATACAAATAATAATCAAGATTTTGAACACTAGTTATAAATTATAATGTTTATACAATGAAGCATAAGAAATTATTATAAACGAAGATAGCTGGTGAGAGAATACACAAATGTGTGGGCTCGCAATAAACATCTTGAACACTAGTCATAAATTATAATGTTTATACATTGAAGCGTGAAAAGTTATTAGAAAGGAATGACATAAAGCTTACCTAGATCAAAATATAGGAAATTAATAAATAGGGTAGAAAAAGATAAGATGAAAATAAGCACAGCCTCTCAACTTTGATTATTTGAGATATAGCGGAATGATTGAGAAAAATTATGTCAATCAATTTAAATTCTTTGAAATTTGAATACAAAGTTAGGCTTATGCTGAAAACATGAAAATGATATTTGGGACCAACTAATTAGTTAGTAAATGAAACGGAAAAATGATTTTTTTGGGCTCAATTAATTAGTTGGCAATTTTATTATTAAAAAAATTTAACTTATTTAATATAAAAAAATTTTAAAAATAAGGAAATTCGATTCTTATTCTAGAATCGATAATTGAACCAAAGCTATCGATTTTTGATTATGATATCCGTTTAAGCATTTTACTTAAAAAGAATTGAACGGAACTGCTTAGTTTAGGTCTAGTTCGGTTCGAAAATTTTGTCCAATCCTATTTCTTATTGCTATTTAATTGATACTGTATTAAATAATTAAGAATTGCTACTTACTTGAAACAAAACATAAATATATCAATTAAATAATGAATACTCCATGATGCTACCAAAAATTTGTACATATGAATACTCGAGCTTGATGACTAGGAATGAATACAAACAAGAATTTCGTAACTCGTAGATAAATTTAAAGCAAGAACAGAACTTTCATAACTCAAACTTGATGATAAATCTTGAGCTATTGACACCTAAGCTTGATAACAAGGCTTAAGCACGGACGAGACCTCCAGAACCTAAAACAAATGTGTCGAGGTATGTCCTCTTTGCCCCTATGATATTTAAGTTAGCAAAATGATAAATATAAGCACGAATCTATGAACAAGATCAATGTAAAAACATACCTGAAGGTTTCATGCTCAGGCAAACACCTTGTATACTTAGGTTTTTTATACATGCACAGGCAATGGATGAGGTACTTGCGTGTGGCAAAACTTGAGGTGTTTGTTGAGACAAGTCTTGATGTGCTTGCTAATTTTTTTTTTATTTTTTATAAAAAAAATTGAAAATCACATTTTTATCCACGAAGTATAATGAAGACGTGACTTCATAAAAAATGATGAGCCCGTACATTATTCTATTTTGTCAAAGTAATTTACTAAAAGAATTACAAAGTCGTAAAAACCTTCATCTTTTATTATAGCTTTGGATCAGCTAATAATGTGTAGGTGGAGTTAAAATTGTACGCCTATTAATATTTTGTTTATGAATTTTGTAAAAATTAATAATGAATAAAAGAAACAAAATATTATTACATTACCACCTTCTTATTCTACAATTGCAAAGTTGAAAATATTTCGAAAGCCTATCTTCATTTTCTCGAAGTTACTGATGCAGATAAACATGTGCTTCTATTTGGATTGTAACATTGTTTTGAGCCACGTGATGCATTTTGGTCCAAAACATGACATAAAATTTACGTCTATAAGAGTTGTAAAATCGTGGGTGCTATGAGTAAGTCTCGGGTTATATTGGACCTTGCCGAATATTAATGCTGTTGTCCATTCCAATATTGAAGTAAATTAAAGATGTCAGCCCCTACCGTTGTCTCTTTCTACCGCTGTCGGGATTCTTGGCTAGAGATCCAGATCCTTGATGTTCTAATGGTTTGTTTACTACAATGACTTTCAATAGCGCTTTCCATGGACGGCGCTAATGGTACTACAAAAATTTGTACTTGAAGATACCCAATCTTGAACTAGGAATACATGAGAATTGAGCATGTACATGACCTTTGAACTCTTTGTAAAGACGAAAGAGAGTTATTCTTGTAATCTATTTGATGCTTAAGTAAAAAACAAATAAAGAAAACATATATATAAGACTATACACTGAATAATGAAAAATGTACCTGAACAGTGAAATAAAAGTTTGAATATATATAGAGTACACAAGGTGTAATCTTTCAAAGATTAGTATACGTGTGAAACATTAGGTAGACAACATGTGATTTGACTTCTAATGGCCTAGGACTTTTGATATGATTAGAATATATAAAGGATGATGGAGTATGTCTCTACAATGGAAACTACCATAATCAGGAGGCTGATGCTCGACAAGCTTCAAAAGGGGGACAAGAACCCGATTTTTAAGTTGTGAAATTTAATTATTGTTGATTCTAATTGTTGCCAGTTTAGGACTATTTACGAATTAGTACTTTTGTAAAATTCTATTAAGAAATTAGAGTCCTTATAAAATTTGGTGTTGCCTCAATTTATCTTATAAATAGGGAGTTGTCTTAATATTTTATTATTTTCATCTAAAAGAGAGAAAGAGAGGCTAGAGAGGGTAGGAATGTATTTTTATTGTAAATCTTTTTTTATCATGGTGAATTACTGCAGTGGCAAAAGAGAACGTAGTCTCACATTGAGGGGAACCTCTATAAATCTTGTGTGTTCTTGAGTATTTATTTTTCTTTCTTCAAATTGATTGTTTTCTATAGAATAGAATTAATGTTATAATTTTCAACAATTGCTGTCAGAGCTTGTAATTTGGTTGAGAGCAATGATTGGCTAAGAATGAATGTCCCTGGGAATCTACAAGTTTGATTGTGTGGATTTTATGTTCTGGAGGATGGAGGTTGAGGATTATCTGAAATGCACCATCCACTTCTGAATGAAATTTCGGATGAATGAGGGATGATGAATACAAAATCCTTGATCATCAAGTATTAGATGTTATCTGATTGACAACTTCAAAGAATGTTGTTCATAACATGGCGGCGAAGAAAACCAAGACAGATTTGATGAAAATACTTTTCACTACGTATGAGAATTCATCTGTGTTTAAAAAGGTATATTTGATGAAAAATTATTTAATCCAAGGATGGATGAATGTACTCCAATAATAGAACATCTCAATAAATTAAATACAATCATCAATTGATTGATTATAGTCGAGATTAAATTTGATGACAAGGTTCGTGTCTTAATCATATTGGCATCACTACAGAATATTTGGAAGCCTATGAGAGCTATGGTCAGTAACTCTATAGACAATGCGAATCTAAGATTCAGTTATGTTCATAATAATATTCTTGTTGAAGAAGTCCACAGAAGAGATTCTGGAGATGTCTTAATATTGAGTTCTACCTTTAACATCAAGAATAGGAGTTCTACCTTTAACATCAAGAATAGGAAAGGAGTTTCAAGAAAAATTTCAATAAAGGTAACATTGGGAAGTAGAATATTGGCATCACTACAGAATATTTGGAAGCCTATGAGAGCTGTGGTCAGTAACTCTATAGACAATGCGTAGCTAAAATTCAATGATGTTCATAATAGTATTCTTGTTGAAGAAGTCCACAGAAGATATTCTGGAGATGTCTCAATATCGAGTTCTACCTTTAACATCAAGAATATGAGGGGTTTCAAGAAAACTTTCAATAAAGGCAACATTGGAAAGTAGAAGAATATTAGAAACAAATCCAGATTTGGAAAGAATATGGAATGTTGAAACTGTGGTAAGACTAGCTACATGAAGAAGCATGAAGAAGAATTGTAGAGCACTAAAGAAGAAGGAAGAATAGAATAATGA